CGTCGCTATTGTATCGTTAAAAATTAGAAAATTAAGCCTCGTTTAAATACTAGCTTCCTTTCATGGTCGAATGAGTGTTGACAGCTAAAACACGTAAAAATAATATTAATTAAAGAAGCCAAGACATAGCCAAATATTGTAGTGCCACATCACTAGCGGACATTTGAACTTTGCCGACTAGGACGGTCGGTTAATCGGGGGTCGGATAATCGAGGTTATACTGTAGTAACGAGTTAATTTGGTGGCCGAGCGGTCAAGATGACAGCCTACCTCTCCGGGGAACTCGGAATTTGATTCGGACAGGTCGAAAAATTTCTAGCAGTGTTTCGGGGCTGATCCGACCGGATATGTCGGCCCCTCCATTGTGGGCCTGGTCGAACCTATAATGGGCTCGCTTAAAGAGGCCCTCTTAGTGTCCGCAGGGCAGAAAGAGTAAAAAAATAACCACTCTCCATTGAAGGACATTGGCGAAGTGGTTGAAGTTCCTCGAGTATCCGCCGGATGTGCTCATCCGTATTAGATCATTTTTTTTCAACACTCCCAAAAAAAAATTGATGTAATGGCGATCGGTCTGTAAACGACGATCGCCATCGCTGACATTTCGTCTTTAATGAGTAGGCGATTTCGTCTTAAGTGACCTTGAAAGGTATATAAAACGAAATCGCTTAATCATAAACTAAAATTTGCAAATTAAGGAAACCTAATTGTATTTATTTGAATCCAAACGTGGTTTAAAAACTAATTAAATGGTATTCTTTAACTTTTCCATTCGGGCTTGTACGTTAAAGTGTTTCTCCGCTCATTTAAAGTTGCGTGAATGACTTTAAAAATGCTTTTTAAAGCCAATTCCCGCTACACCACTTCCTATACAATAAAGTATAATTTTTAAATACTGTATTAGTCTATCGTTCATCATATACCTTCTACTGGTAATTTTATCGAGATCATTAACAATTTGCGCAGTCATTACGTATGTGTTTACATCTTTTTTCTTCTATTATTCTACTCCCTTTTTGTTATAAAAACAATGTAACAAGTTATGATGAAACATTATATTTTTTAAATTTTAATGTAACATAGCTACAAGTATCTTTTTTTATTTCCTTCGATTCCCGAAATATTCGATTCCATTTACTTCGTGTAGTGGCCGAAGTACGGTTTGGGGATATCTTGTTTTATACAATACTGTATTGGCACTGAACATTTCTACTTCAAAAACTAAGCAAAAATATCCCTAATACTATAGACATCTTTTAGTTTAGTTCGACATAGTCGTCAATCTTCTCGACTTTCTTTGTCTATTCCAAACTAAATTGGAGGGAACACAATTGAACACTTACCCGTAACTTGACAACTGTAATCTAATTTCTTCTTATTAGTAAACTATTTTACCTCACAAGATATTGGCCGAAGTTAAGCATCGAGCTATCTGTTGGCAAAAATAAAGATGGATAAATAACAGTAGCAACTTTTAACGCGCATTTACTACAGTATCGATGGTTTCTGATACAAAGTGTCATTAACGAGATTTATTAATTTAAATTCAACGCGCTAAAAAATAAATAAAAATTAAAGACACGGTTTCAAATTTACAAAGAATAATTTGAATTAATTCAAAGTTTATAACTGAGAAAACAGGCGAGAGACTTGTTTGTGTACAATCCAGTTCAAATTGTTCACGCGAACACTGATTACAATAGTCCAATAACCTAGTCCCGTTGACAGTCTGCAATTTTAACCAGTGTTTTTTTTTTTTTCTTGGTACACGAATATCGATATACACCATCGTATATACCGATTTTTCTTAATTTTTCATATAAAATATCGAAATAGCTCAAACCAAAAGCCAAAGACGTTTGATTTGATCAATTTGACAAAGGCCTGGAGAACAAAGAATGTCTTATCGAATGCAGCTACAGACTTATTATAAAACACCGACGTCATCACTCTTGTCAAACTATTCTGTCTAATATCCAAAAAGTTATCGGGCTGCAATTTTCAAATTCCTACCGGGGTCCGTCCGTCCTTCCTTATTATGGAGAACGGAGTGATATCTATGAAAGTCTAGACTAGATACGGAAAGCTTAGGGCACAAGGCCTGATTAATTAACTATACACAAACTTCCGGTTTGGACCGGAAGTCACGTTATTTCAATTAAAAAAAGAGTTAAATATGGTACGACTCAGTTAACGGGAAAACTATGATGTACGGAGCGTGACACTACTAAAATTAAGAGCACTGTGACAAAAAATTGCAGCCCGGCATTGTAGTGTCACAACAAATGCAGCTCGTATCTATATACAAGCCCATTATTGATTCGACCAGGCCTAAAATGGTGAGAGACAGAGCCGACATATCCATCCCTCAAAAATTTCTGGGCTTTTCTACCCGTCCGAATTCTATCTAGGAGCGGTAAGCCGCCATCTTAGCCGATCGGTCATCATTAAGAAAATATTTATATAAAACTTGCATTTGTATCAATTTTTTCCTATCTCCAATTCGGTTTTGTCCATCGGGTGCCCGAGGAAATAAAACAATATAGGTAATTGCTGGCGGATTTATTATTAATAATCAAAATTTCAAACAAAATGTACAATTGTTTATTTATAACAATAATTCTACATTAAACATTTCAATAATTTTATCATAAATATAACAATGTTGGGTGACGTCAATAATTTCCGAGATAATCCACCAATCGGTGGTCCCAATGCGCCGCCTGCAGCATTTTCGACAGCCACTACCGACATCGATTCGTTGCGCGAGATCTGACCAACAATTCGTTCCGATTGTTCGTGTATGCCCAATCGAATTGATTACGCGTGCTAGCGTATTAAAGCTAAATGGTAAGCCAATACACTCTATGGCATTGACAAGGACGGGTTTGCCGATACCAGTGATAAAACTGATCTATCCTAGTGTTGCAACGAATAGTATATTCGACAAACTAGTCGTCCAGAAAGAAAGTATCCCGTCTGGATGACGGGACACTTTCTTTCTGGACGAACATAAAAATATATCTGGATAAACTGATAGAGGAAAAGGTGGTATTATGGAACCCCTCCATTTCAAGCTGATAATAAAGGCCAACTGTAGCGGATTGTGGCCGAATTGCACTAGGCAGACATCCATAGCGAGGGGAAAACCCGTTTCGCTTCAGTTAAACGGTCGTCCGCAGTGAATTAGAATACTTGTGTTTTCGAAATTACTACTCATTAACGCAATATCCTTTTGTCTTCTTTTAGCAAGTTTTTTTTTACACGGTGGGGTGTTAGCTCCACGCACAAACCCCAACCGGTGACGCGCCATAGCCTGGCCCCTATCTACTGACGGGTATCCCTATCGGTAGCAAAGCTGCCGCAGACAGTTCGCAGGGTATATGGAACGTCGAGGTAGGGATTTTTGAGCAGGTAGACTCGACATAAAACATCTTGCACGCAAATATGTGGCTAAGTACGATGCGATTATATAAATACAATTTTCTCTATTACTACTGATAAGAGTAACAACTGAAATGACCACGAAAAAAAAAAGAGGAAGATTTCGACGACGGTGAATTCTGGTAAAAATGCATTGGCCTGCCTCGTGTTTTGTAAAAACCTGTTTAAAAAGGAATGCCACAATATCGGCCAGAATTCTTTTAGAGGTTTTTAAATCCGAACCTTCATCGTGATTTAGAATTCGGCTGCCGTTTCTCCACAGAATCGCGCAATTTGTTCCTAGTCTCGGTTTCCGCCTTACACAAGCTTTCGTTGTATTTTATCCGAAATATAACGGAAGAATTTGCCACGTAATGTTTTCGTGCCAAATCGTTCCATTAGTTTCGTACGGGTCCATTTTAGGCAGGTTCACTTTATAAAAATTGTGTAAACTTGTTTTATTGGTTCCCCTTTGAAACAGGGCTTTTGTCAGGTTTCTAACTTTACATATCCAAACCTGCTTGGTTAAATTGTTGACACGTTTGCAGGCGAGCGAGCGTAGTGGACAAATTAATTACTTCCATACATTTAACATTAACTAACAATCATTTATTGTAATTGTATAGATTTTCATTTAAAATTACATGCCCGATAGTTGTTTGTACTTAATTTTTCTTTATTTCTTCTGGCCTGTGTTAACTTCTATGTTCTTACGGGCCTACACTTGGCATCTTTTCCGAATTCCAGAATAGACTGCGAAACTCCATACTTTCACAAGATAATTGGTAGAGTATGACGCAAGAACATCCACCAGACAAACGAGATTACTAAAAATAACTCCATATTTGTGGTTCTATACCTCAGTTACTTGTTTAATAATCCATAGTTATATCCTCTGCAGAGAAGAGTCAACCCCCATAACCAGAACAGAATCCATTCCTCTCAGAAAACATTTTGACTTGTGTATTGTTCCAAAATTTTAATGTGACTGCTATATCCTCACCAATATAAAAGCTATACAAAACAACAGGGAAAGTTTCTGTATTAAGAAAGCAAACATAAAACACTTGCAGCTTTACTCCTGATAATTTCAATTTTTTTTAAGTATTTCGTTGAATTTGGTAATTAAATTAGCAATTTTGCAGTTAATTTCTGTAAATTATAGAAATAAAAATACCAAATCCTTACCCCATCAATCCAGAAAGCATATTTTTATATTATTGATACACTGACCGAAGAATTAGATTAGTATTTTTTGTAATATTTCGACAAAAGTATTATAAAGATCTGATACTGTGTCGAAGACGGTGCGCCGGCTTCCTATTCTTTCTTCTTAGAACTACAAACACTTTTCAGATAAAAAGCAGGGACACCCTTCGATTTTGCTCGCCCGTAACGAGCCACCTGCGACGACGGAGGTTGAAGAACGGGATTCCGTGCGACACGCTCGAAGCTTCCTTTCGGATTCGGGGACCACCTCGATCGCCTAGCCAGCCAGATGGCTCTTCTAAAAATTAAAAATAATTTCTGGAGAAACACAAATAAAAAAAGAAAAAAATGAAAGTAACAAGTAAATTATGTGTAAAAAATGAATTTTATTGGAGAAAATAAAAAACCCATCAGAGTAATAACATCATTTATTGATAAACTCATCTCCACGGCTGGACAAACATACTGCTGTCTTTTGACAGAACAGTCTACAATAAACAGGTCCTAGACTCATTTTGAGATAGGTGGCAGTGAAGTTACTGGTGATTTGTTGCCCAGGGAAGGAGATCTTGTACACTTTATATAACACACAAAGAAAACTAGAAAAAACCACGGTAATCTTTCCTGACAAACTGTCGCCGGAATCTTACAACTTGTACAGTTAAGATGTAACAATTAAAGTCGACGAGACAAAATATTCGTGTAAACAAAGACACTGTGTTGTACTATGTAAAAAGAAAAAATTACAACGGGCTCTGCAAAAGCCACGGATGGTTCCGTTCTAGTATCTACCCTTATCCCGGAAAAGTACTAATTAATTACTACCCGAGTCGGAATACGAGACTGAGGGTGGGAATCTATATTCTATATAAAGTGCTTGTAGAAATAAAAAATTAAAAGATTAGGGGAAAACAGTAACTCCTGCACCTTGCAAATATCTCACGAGGAGAGATAATCTTAACAGTTGCACCACAAGAGGGCATAACAGATGCTGAATATTTCCGTAATGGTCCATAGGTTAGTTTCCTTTCTTCCCATTATCGTTACTGCATCAACATTGCAAACTGAATAAAACGGTTTCTCGAATATATATAATATATGCATTTAGTCATATTGGCGTATGTCTGTGTGTTTATTTGTGTACGTGTATGTGTGTGTTCACGTGTGTATTTATGGAGTATGTGTATGATTAGTTTTGAATAGTTCACACATCTGGAACAACCATTCTAAAACTGTACACTGTACAGATGTGTCAACTGATCCTGCTTAACAGTAACATAACTAAAACCAAGAACAACAATCGGGCTCTCCGGAGATAAAGAAAGCTTGATTGGCATCGCCGGCAAAGTTTTTTATTTTGCAATGTCGTGCAGCAACAAACGCCAATGCATCCAACAGCGAGTAAAGATAAACTTCTGGAACACAGCAGAGTTGCCAACAACACCAATACCCCCCTTTTAGAGTAATGACGATGACAAATAAATACAGCGGACCCACTACTGGTCCCTTACGAGATTCTGTACTGAATGAATGGAAAAATCTGAGGGTTGGTCAAAATTAACACAATTGTGGCAATCTGGCTTCCACGAAGTAACAGTCTTAACTGACGAGCCGTACGATTACCAATAAGAGTATGATCTGTTTGTTTCAACAAGAATTGTGTCGAATTATTCGGTTGGCTTCCTATAATCTCATGCTAATAACTGAAGACTGTCAGTCGTATTTTGTCCTGACTGTCAACGGAACAAGATTATCCTATAAAGACAGAAAAAAAGTTAATATTACTGTTTAAAAACAATGTGGTATTTATTAAAATATGATTATGATAAATAGTAAATCATCAACAGAATATAAATAATTGCACCCATTATGATCCACAGTTCTAGTGAAACACTTAGAGATCTGTAGTAGTATATAGACTGAAGGAAATGTTTAAATTAGCAATCCTCATGAGCCAAACTTTGAGACTATCAGCAGCATTAGATAAGGGACTGTGTTCTGGTCATTGCCTCTTGTCTTTGAGAGACAAGTATCTATGTCATAAGCAGGTCAATCTATAATTTTGTATGCTGCATTTTCAAAAATTTTACAATTTTATTGGTTAAAATTCTATATTGTGTTGCGCGCATAGGTAACTTGAACATGTATAATTAACCTAATAGAATTGTGACATCAAAAATGAGATTGTTACAAATGACCAGAATCACATCCCGTCTGGACATCGTTCTTTTCTGAAAGAAGGAGAGAGAGATAAGTAACCAGAATGCAGCCCCAAGTTGTCACTGTGAGTGTAATTTTACCAGGTTAATCAAACAAAAATAGAACTTGCAAACAACAGTGTAAGGAGTTTAATGATGTTGCAAATCAAACCTGGAAAACACAAATCATCCATGGCTTCACCAAGTTTGAGTTGGTGTCAAACTCATCCTGTTGTTCACATATTCTAGTTTTGTCAATCATCCTATAATTATGAAACTGAATGGAAAAATCTACAAGCAGATAAGAGACGACGAGTATTTACTCATTCTACGTCAACAATAACAATTCTTGGAATTCTATGATGCCAAATACCAATAGGCCACTGTCAAATAATCACCAGAGAAAAATATCCATGCTTAGAGGAGGAACCGGATTGAAGATTCACAAAAACTGTTGTAATGAGTAAAAGACTAAGAAAGTTGAAAATACAAGATTTGAGAAAATAAGACATCTCAACCATAGAACACTGCAGAGAAAGATTAAATTTTGCAAGACTTCACATGGACAAATACAATGTTTGTAGATGAATTACAAATATGCTTAATAAACAATTCAACCTTCTATTGTAATGTGCTTGGATTCCCACTGTAAGAAATTATTTGCAACAAGGATCCAAAGATGGAAAATGAGTTGTTGGAAACACCTCTTTCAAATAATATAAATCTTAATGTAGGCCAGGTTCCAAAGTGTGTGTCGTGGCACCCTAAGTAGCCACAAAATATTGATATTATAAAATTTTCATAATTTTACTTCCACTTTCAATTTGATGTGATAAGATGCGACATCTAGCAGACCTGGTGCATGTCATTAACTCTGTAATAAAGATGGCACATAAAATTGCAAAATGTAAAAACCCTCATACCATCACAGAAAGTCATTCTACTGGCTGCTGTAGATATGATGAACATTATGATCAACGAGTCTGTGAGGAAGCAACTTTCAAAAGTGCTTTTGTTCAATAACACCATCAATCACAGAATACAGCACATAGTGAAGGACTTCCAATGTTCAGTTAATTGAAAAAATAAAAGGAAGGAATTTGAGTTGCAGCTGGATGAGGACAGAGAGAATAATAATGATGCTTACTTGATTTGGTCTATACAGTATAGATAGTAATAACATTGTAGAAGACTCTTTTGCAAAAGCATCACTGCTGGTGCTAAGGATAATGACATGTTTGCGATCTTTTATTTAAAAACTTTTTAAATAAAAGATCGCAAACATGTCATGATCCTTAAAACTTTTATTTAAAAAGGAAACTGATAATATTATGGAACCTAAAAAGAGGAATGTCAAGAGCTGCACTCACTGCAGAAACCGAGTAAGAGATAATAGCCAAGGTAGAAAGTGGGCACAAGATGTCCGACGTTGCTAGGCAGTATGGCTCAAATGGGTCTACAATAGTCACAATCTTAGCTATGAAAGATATATCAAGAAGTCTCGAGCTGCTAATGGAGTAATGAAAATCACATCTGAGAAATAAAGAGCATTTTAGAGCTCATAATGGAATCCGAAACTGATCTGACGACAGAAGTACTCTGAGAACTCTCAAATGAAAAATACCAAGAAACTTGACGAGATGTGTTTTCTTTTGAAAGAGGACCAGTGTTGACATCTGCTACTAAAGATGTTTTGAAGAAGTGGGAGGATGTCGTAACAACAATCATCCAAGTGGCATCCAAAGCAGAATAAAGTTAATTGGGTTGGGGATCTCTACAATTACAATACTATTAATTATTTCCGAAAAAGCCTGGGGAAAAAAAAAGCAATTGACATTAGATAGATTCTTTAATCTCCACAAACAGAAAAAAAATGACTAATAAAAATGCAAGACTGGGTACAAAATGCAATATATGTATTTTTATTATTACATATAAATAAACATAGTAAAAAAGTATATATTTTTTTATTTTTTGGAGTCTATGGAACAAATTAATCAAATTCCCATAACCTATGGTAAAATCTATAATCGGTTAACAAACAATTCGGATAACGAACAAAGTCTTGGAACAGATTAGGTTCGTTAACCGATCATCCACTGTAGTTTCTAAAGTATGTAAAAAAAATAGAGACATTAAGAAAGCCTTAAATATATTTACTCTATTCAAATTATCTTCCTATAGCCTATAAATAGGCTTTGTAATTAATGTAAAGCTGGCAAAATAAAAAAAACACTACTACTACTATTACTACAACAACAAAAACAAGATAATATAAATCAGTAATCATCATCATACAATTTTATAAAGCTGTCTGCTTCACAGCACAGTTTCGTGACAGTTTTGGCTCTAGCTTTATCCATATCTGTTCAGATTACCACTCATGCCAACATATTTTTGTAAAATTATTGCTTTGAAATTATAAAATATGAAAAACTTCCATGTTTCTATATCAATACAAAATTCCAGTCTATTCTTAGAATTATTGTTAATTAAAAAAACCCACCATTTGGAATGTCGAATCATTTGAGATGACCGATAGAAAATTTAGCAAGTTATTCAATTCTTGGTTTTGTACAGGTTATACTTAGAAATTACAAAATCAATTCTTTTATAAATTTATTAATTTTACCAATTAAGGAGAAAGTATTAGCTTATGTCCTCCAGAAAAGGAGGAACACTGACATTATTTCCATTCTCCTGTACTGACTTCTCATCATGTCTTCGCTAAAACTCCTTTCTTTATGCAACTACGTTTGCAATCTAGAAATAATTCACTCAAAATTATTGTGGCTAAACAAGTTTTATATTCCCATTTTTGTCAGGCTAAAATGAAAACTATGTAAGTTTAAGTATCAAAATAAGGTAAATTAATAAAATAAATTTCCATACTTACTGTAATTCCTGCCTTAAAGATACACTGTCTTGCAAAAAGTTTTTTAAAAATTTAATGGTTTTATGGAGCTGACATGTAAAAATCCAATGTAGAATTTGGAAAGAATTATTGTCAAGCAGTTAACAATAAATTCAACATTATACAAGTGTATATAATGAATGAAAGGAGTTAAAGCTGACTGAGTGTACTAAGTTGACACCAGTCAGCATTGCGAGTGACCACTATCTAACATTTGGAAGTGAAAATTTGACGAAGGTCCAGTAACAAAACTGGCGATGCATCTGCACAACAAGCAGGAAATGCAGGTTTGAGTTTCTTCTCTGGGCAGATCTTTTCTTCCAAAATGTTCTAAAATTCAAAATCAATTATTATTATATTTAACAAGAGATGACGACTCTAGTGACCTGGCTAATGCCAAATTGCTTAGTAATCATTTAGCCTGTAGCCTGATAAAGAATCTGACCATTCATTTAGTATTTATTATAAAAGTGACAACAAATTATTAGACTGACGATGATGATAGGTTTTGTTTGAAATGAAACAATACGATTACCTCATATTGGCATCATCACATTTATTATAAAAAAACTTAACACAGAAAGTTGTAATTGCAAAACAATTTAGAAATTAATTGAATAGTTTCCTTCAAGATAATGCAATTAATTTTATATAGATAAGCATTATTTTAATTTTTCTTCATACAGTAATTTATAATCATTATATTTCTTTTCAATTTATCTAGGACCACTGTCAAAATTAGTAGTGTTTTGGTAACAAACTCAGACCTACTGATCAAAGATTTATCAGGTTTGGATGATTTATGTAAATTTTTTGAAATTATGTTATATGGCAGGAAACACAGTAATGTATTTAGCAACAAGTACAATTTCACTATAAAATGCTAATTAAACATTTTTTCATAGTTTAAACAATGTTTCAAACAGCACTAAATTTCAGACAAAATAATGTAGTAGAAAATAGAGTTTTAGTTTGAGGATACAAATTACACTAAAGACACTTATTGGGAAATCCAATTTTGAAGGCAGCAAAATTTCACATTGTTAAAGGCAGTTTTAAACTGTACTTATTGTTATAACTCTTTGATTGATATCTAAATATCATAAGATAACTTTTAAAATCTGTTTTACCTCAAATCATTGTTGTTGCACGTTTTCCTCGGGTTTGGGAATATCGAATATTTCTGCAAACAGTGGTGGCAGTCTCAAGCGAGTCCAGTTTGCCCTGAACCACTGCAGGTGTTCCATGTGCTTTGCACCTAGAGATCTCAATTCGGAGAGCTTCACCGTCAGGTTCGGAAAGATGTGGGGTTCGCTCGGGTGATTACGTCCCACCTGCAACTTGAGCGCCTCGGTTAGTTTTTCCTGATGCTGATCGATGGCTTTGTTGTCGTAGATTCCGGCACGCTCTGTGCAAAACGATTTTTTAAATGTTTTTAACATTTTTAAATGTTTTAAATGTTAAACATTTAAAAATGTCAACATTTTTAAATGTTTTAAAATTCCCATTATAAAGTATTAATACATCTACACACACACAAGTTTCAAGACACATCAATAAGTTATATACTCCATAAATCTTACGATATAAAAAGAAGGAAAATTGATTTTTGGTTAACATTTCCATTGATCAAAGGACTAAAACCTACTCTTTGCACGCCAGTTCTTATTTAAATACTAAAATAGTTTCAAATTATCCACAGGTTATTCTTAGAGACATGTTTAGCAGCTATTTTTCATTTATTAAATTTAATTTGTGTTACTGATACAAAATTATGTACAAGAAATTCTTATGTTTTATAATGATTCTTGCATTACTTCATTTTATCAAATTTACAAGTATAGCAAAATAGAACAACTTGGCCTACAAAAATCGCCCCCTTCACTACATCCCTGCCGAGGGACAAGGCTAACGCCAAATTCGTACTGCAATGAACAGACTAGTGACTAGTAGAATGTTATTTGTTTAATTACTGTACGATATAATGAATAAAATATCTAATTATTCTTAATAATTGCCCATAAAATTGTTTTTCGCCCCCAAAATATAAATTGTTACTAATTGCCCCCCGAACATGGAAAAACACCCACATGGGGGCGATATCACCCGTTCAGAAACACTGTTAGGGTATTGTCATAGTATAATTTCATTAAATTTTCATTGAAAACTCATCTTTCAAATGTTTTATAATCATCTTTAATCAATTTTTGGAGTTTAAATTTGTGGGAGGAACAGAAACACAACAAAAACAGTTGTTTCTATTCATTCCACAAACCTTTTTTCAATACTAATGATTTAAAATTTGAAGTCCTACAAAGTCCTTGAACTCCAGCACCTGGCTAAAAAGTAGCTAAATACCGTATTTACTCACATATAAGACAATCATGCATATAGGAAGAGGTGTGACTTTAAAGATTAAAATAAAGAAAATTAGATTTATTAATACAATTCTAATTCTATTTCATCTAAACACAAAGTGTAAAATGCACATAAATGCACACATTATCCAGCAAAAATTGCTGGAATTTTAATCTTTAAGGAAAAATCTTGTAAAATTGGCAATATAATTTGGTCATGTAATCGGGAACCTTTTTCTTTGCCAATTCTTAACAGTCGAATCCACACTTACGAGTTTCTTTGAATTCTGATTTCCAAGTAATTATCTGTTTTCATGTGGGAATGAATTTAAACTTATATCAAGCTCCCATGTGATTTTGCAATTTAAATTTGGAATTCAATTCAAAAGCTTTGCTTTTCCTATTGCTATTCATCTTTACTCCTGCAATACATAAGAATGATTCAAACGACCCAGATAAAATACTTTTGTTTTTACACACCAGAGGGTGAGCATCCGGTAAAAAATGTGAATATATGGTTCACAAAAATTATTGCAAAAACCTAAAGAATCCTTCAATTGCGCATATAGGACGACGTAGGTTTTTGAAGCAGTGAAAAAATGAAGAAAAAACTCATATATGAGTAAATACGGTAGTTTATTTGTATGTTCCCATATTAGTACATTTCAGTGAAGGCCTTCACTTTTCTCTAGTGAAGATGTATAGAAAGAAAAGGAACTGACTACATGTTGCTAAAGTCTGTCAAACTGAAGGTAATTGATGTGTAGCTCTTTTACAAGGAAACACCAAAGACAATGAGATTTTCGGACACAAATGAGGCATCTTACTTTACACAAGTTGTAAGAAAACTTCCTTACTATCAGTTCCTCCAACAGGTTTCAAAACAAGATTTTCTGACCACCTCAGTGACTTAACTATTTTTTAAAAATCTACTTTAGTTTTACTTATGTAATCAGTTTTTCAGATAGCCCAAGTGACTTCAGCACATTTTTTTTATAAAAGCTCTGCTTTCTTTCTATGTATGTTATGTAATTGGCATAATATAAATTCCTTTTAACCCATAGGTAGGGGTGAAAATAAAGTAAAATGAGAAATTTAATTACCTTATATATCATATAATTAAGTTGTCAGAGAATAAAACTGAATTTTTAAGCAAACTTATGAAAATCACATCACTAATTTTATTGGAGTTACACAATCAGAGGGGTGTACAAAAAAAAAAACTTATAAAGATCAAACAGTGAAATTAAAAACTTCTGATAAATCTCATGTAATCAACAATACAAAATGTAAAAATTAACGAATGTTAAACTATATAATAGAGAGTCTTCTTTGCATGTGTTCTCACATCAGGAAAATAACAGTCTTATGGTAGAGTTGACCTTTTATTGGAGGCTGTATGTGAAGTATTTTAATGTGTCACTTGTTAGGTAAAAGGGAAGAGTAACTTTACAAACTGAATCTATCATCATCACCACAGAAAACATTTATTGCCAAGTTCAAAGTAGATACTATAATATATAAAATATAATGTAGATGTTTTCTTAAAAAAATGGAAAAATGAGAAGTGTGACAAATTTTATTTACAGAAAAACAACTAATATCTCTTACTGTTTTATTCTAGAATATAAGGATACTTGATTCAGTCTGTACAAAGTGTTATTTTTATTATAATTTATTGTAAAGTGGTTTCACACAATTAATACTCCTTGTGTTAAACAAAATTAATTATGCCTCTATGTCCTTAATACTAATGGGTGAGGCAAGGGGTTTCTGGACTAGTTTAAAGCATCATAACTTTTCAATTTGAAAACAATTTAAAAATCTTTGTAAACATTTGTCAGTCAGTTTGGAAAAATGACTTCTTAAGAAAACATATTAAGAAAAATTGAAGAGAGTATTTTTTAGTTGAAGGCCATAGTAAATCAACTATATAATATTTTGCAGAGGTATGAAATATCTGAAATGTGAAAAAGAATGCTAGGAAGTGAAAAAAGTTGGTTGTTACAAATACTAAAAACTGAAGAGCACTGTGACAAACGTTTGACATCAAAGATGTTATGGCACATCACTGACCATGGGCTATATGATTGTGTTCATTAATTCTACACTATTGTAAACAAAACTTTTAAAATAATATTTAATAATTACTTCAATTTTCCAATAATATATTATGCTTTAAAAACAAGTCCAGATTTTTTTCTCACCCTGTTTTTGTAAATTATCATCATTTACTAGGTCTTTCATTTATTAATAGACTTGTTATACTAGTATGATTGATTTGATTGAATACAAAGAGATAGTAGTGAAAATTAAAACAGTATTTCTTTGTTTTCAGATAAAACAGTCAAAAACAAAGAAATACTGTTTTAATTTTGACTACTACCACCTGTGTCCAATTGATCACACCAGTATAATTAAGTCCTTGCATGTACAGTACATCTTTATTCCAGCACAAATTTCTTAAGCAACCTTGTTAACACTGTTTCAGGTTTACAACACATCACAGCCTTAACAGAAACGAAACTTGAACTACAAATTTGATTTAAACTTTCATATTAATTGTAGAAAGTTCTGATTAGAGCTTATAAAAATCTTCTTTACTCAATATAATATTTGACCATTTTAAATGTGTGAAACTGAAGTTGTCAGCATGCAATGCACTTTATGAGGACGTGCATATGTATGCTAAATCATTTAACTTTATACCATAACTTCCTCTTGCCGGATATAGTACTCAGATCTTTGAAGTCTTGATTTGTCTTTTGATGCCAATTTACGTATTTTGAGTACTTCGGTATATTTTAATGCTGAATTATATCTGGTAGGTGTTATGACCTTAGTTCTACTCCAAATCAATCTACACCTCAGAGTCTATTGCATGTACTGTTCTAGGCTCCCCTTTTCAATTGTGTTCTAGATCATTAATGGCAAGGATAAATGATGTAGTGCCCACATATTCCAATTCTTGTTGAATCTTATCCTTTATTGAAACGGTGTACACTCCTAATGTTGGCATAAGATCTCCTTTACCTTTGCCATTTTGTAGGAAACCAGAAACAGATGGGTTTTTTTCCTATAATAATTCTGGCTGCTTATTGTTCTAAAGATCTCCTTGTGAATGTCTTCAAATATCTGCTATAGCTGATTGGTTTGAAGCCACCTGTACTTTAGTTATAGCTTGTAGTTGCTGTTCCTGTATCTCTCTCAGGTTTTGTGTGGTTTTAGACAGGTATCAATGGTCTCTTGCCAGGTTTCTATTTATTACAATTCTGGAAATCTATCTACAACACTGGAACAATACATGAAGACCCTTTAGATTAAAGCCGTGAATGCCAACTCACAACACCAATATAATTTTAAATTGGGGGCATTCACAGATTTAATCCAAAAAGAGCCCTCACACATTGTTCTTATATTATAGACTTTCAGAACTGCAATATACAGAAATCCTAGCAAGAGACCATGGATACAAGTCTAAAACCATACAAAACCCAGTAGATAAATATGGAAACAGCAACCATAAAATGGAATGAAGGAATAATACAGACAGCATTAAACCAATCAGTTATGACAAGTATTTGAAAGACATTCACAAGGAAGCCTCTAGGAGAACAGGCAGCCAAATTTATTAAAGATGATATCCATCTATTTAATAAAATCCATCTCCTACAAAACAACAAGGATAAAGGCAACACTCTGTCAACACCAGGAGGGTACACCTTGCTGATAAAGGATAAAAGATTTAACAAGGAATTGAAATATGTGAGCAGTATATCTAGATCTTTAAATGGTCAAGGAATGAAAGACCACAGTTGAAAAAGGGGAGCACACAACAGCATATGTAATAGACCCCAAGGTGTTATGTCAATTGAAAAGAAACTTAGATTGTAACACATGACAATATAATGAAGAACTCAAATCATACATTTCAGCATTGAATGGAAAATTGATAAACTTCAAGAAACAGGGGATTAAGTTATATTCAATGAGCAAAAGTCATAGTATGGAGTCGAAATGACACAGCATACATACCCAATCCCATGTAAGTGGACTGTATAATGACAACTTGAGTTCCATGTATTTGGATTTAGTCCATTATAATGATGCCGAGTAAAAGCAGGTTTATTTAAAAGCTCCAATCAGAACTTTCTTCAGTGCTTATGTATTTGATTAAATCAAATATGTAGTTCAAATTCCATTTCAATTAATGCATTTGTGTTCTAACTCTGAAAACTATTTAAGCAAGTAAGTAATTTTTACCGGCGTAAGAGTTTTTGTGCAGGAAGTATCAATATTTTTATAATAATAATAATAATAAATGTTATACTTACCTGAGGTAAGTAGAACTGCAGCACAAAAGAGCCCAATTTCAGTATCATTTAGTTGCAAATTATTAAAAGTTACGGCAAAGTTGAACAGTGTCGACACAAAATCATGCTGCAAGAATTATTATTTGACTTTAGTTATAATGTATTATGTTACATATAATATAAAATCAGCTGTATCTTACGTCAAACATGAGTTCCATCTGTTGACGAGTTATGAAGCTTCCGTCGCTGAACGTGACGGTATTGTCGATGCTACTGATCATTCTGGATATATGAACCAACCAGATCTCGAAGAACCCCAATTTGATTAGGATGAGTTGATCGTCCTGCGTCAGGTCGAGAAATCCGGGCACGCGTTTTGCAAACTCGACGACCCTCTGGATAGATGGAGTGAGAAGAACGGCAAAGTGTTGCCACATAACAATTTTCTGCTGTTCTAGACTGTCTGCCGTCATTGGCCCGCTGCAACTACTGTCAACTGTACCGGACTGATAGTCATCTAGACTCTGTAGAGTAAAACACATTAAAATTACTTTTGTAGCATTAAACTTTTGAATCAGACTTACTCAATTTAATAGTCTGGCAAAATATTAAGTTAGAAACTGACATGACATAAAAATGAATGCAGATTCAAATTGGTTTTATCAGCAACCAATGGTTCAACATGGTTTTATCAGCAGTCTTAACCAAATACAGTGGAACCTCACTTAACGTTCCAGCATAATTCGTTCCAGAACCTTACTCATTAAACGAAACAATTTTTCTCACAGAAAGTAATGTAAAATACAATAATGAGCATTGTATGGGGATTATATTTTAAAACAAGAATTAAAGAATAAATTAATATTTAATAAAATCAGAAGTGCACATAGAATCTCAAGCAAGAGTACTTCTGAGTAGTGTCATCTCTAAGCTACTTGAGCATCAATAGTTTGATATACAAAGTATTACAATATAATTTCATTAAGTATCAGGTAGGGTTTCTCTAATGGGAAATCCCAAAGCTTTCTTAAAGGTTCTTTTCTTATTTTGTGTTAAGGTTGAGGAAATTTTGCAAATAGAAAGTATAATTAACTCAAAGTGTCAGAATGCATTTGTGTTTATTAATTTTAAACCCTGCTTATTTGTTTTTTAAATTTTTGCTTGTTATGGAGTGTCACAGATTGTCAATAATCAATATGTATTTCTGGCAGCATTCTGAAAATTATTTGTCAGAACCTGTAATATCTTGAATAATTGCACCGATGCTGTCTTAATTTTTAACAGTGCTCAGTAGCTTTGATAGCTGCATTACACCAGGTTGCACAAATTGGTCAAGAATACAAATAAGTATGAAAGTATGAAGTTTTTCTTCATAAACCTGATTATTAAAGCCAAACCAACTGCTGAATTATCAGGCTGTAAGATGGCTAATTAAATGACTATTTAATTAGCCATCTTATAGACTGATAATTTGGCAGTTAGTTTGTCTTTAATTGTGTGCATGTTGCACTTCCTTTAATAAATTTGCGAGTTGTAACTCAAGGTTTTTCCTGTAATTCCCATTATCCATATATAAACTACATTATAATTTATTTTGTTCATAACCAATCTCTTCAATCAAGAATGTCAGAATCATTTGATATTTCATAAAAAATTTGAAACAAGGCATTATTACATCAAAATTGATGTAATAATGCTACTAGTAAGTGTAAGGCATTATTACATCAAAATTGATGTAATAATGCCTTACACTTACTAGTAGTGTCTTGTATTGTTCATATTCTTCCTATTTTTTTTTTAACTATCTGGCATTTTATACTATTTATAACAGTAATAGTATTGTGCTCTTTGATATGTCTTCCTAAAATGAAAGTCCTCTCCAATGTTTAAAAATCAAATCATAATAAAGAAAAACAGGTCTTGATTTGTATTGATTCTTGTCAATAGTGTTTACTTTTCACAGTAGAGAGTTTCCTCTTTTTAAGTATTTTTTGCTTTGTAAATTAAATTATATTCTACTCATATTTTATGTAAGGACTTTTATGAATATTTTTAAATTCTTTCAGTTTAAAAAAGCATTGTTGTAAGGTATTGGGCATGGAAGGAAAAACATTGCATCTTGGAATAGTTAAACTTATACTTCACAAATATAAATCTTTTTATGTAGTTAGATGAACAATAATCAAGTGTGTGTTACATACGCAGTTCTCAGTACTGTCAGAGTATCTTACATTTCCAAATATTTATATACAGAAATGTTTTTTGCCTATAATTTCACAATCAGCAAGGTTTCTGTAGCCCCAGAATCATCTGCAGATGAATGCAATTGCATGTTTGTACCCTTTGAAATAATTCACACCCGTATCATCACTAATACCGATCTTTCAAATTCATTTTTGTCTCAGTCGGTTATCACCGAATTGCACGTCCATGCCAGGTTACAGCCGAGAGAAGCTTCTGCCATTTGTCTTTTAATTCAAAGATCAAAATTTGATCTGTAACGCCACCTGTCCACTTTGAGTTCGGTAGGATATATCAGTTTATAAAAATAAATCCTAGAGGATCAGTTTATTTACATCTTAACTCTTACAACTAGAGATGGGTGAATATCATCTGCAAATACTCAAATAGTAGAAAGTATATGGTTTTGAATGTTTAATATAGTGTTGATAAAAAATTCAAATACTATGAATACCTCCAATATGATGCCATGCATACAGTTGTAATGACAGATTCAAAAGAATTCAAAGGTTGGGACTAATTCAAAAATATAAAACATTTGAATAATTAAGAAGTACTGTACAATAGAGTCTCTACAGTCTGTCATTTGCCAGTCCAACATGTCCAATAATCCAGCAGTCTCAGAGTGGCACACATGAAATTTACATGTCACCACTACGTTGCACATGCAGTTGGCAAAACATTCACAATCATGATTAATATGATAAACTAACCAATGAAATAGGTGTTTTTTTTTTTTTGTTACTGTAGAGTACATGTACAAACATACAAAATCTATTAATCTGACATCTGCTGGTATGATATATGTTGGATTACACACACTCTCCCATACTTTTTATTAACACATATGCAATGATTTTGTCACAAACTGTATTTACTATCATAAACATTGTTAAAATAATGTTTTAAGTTCAAAGAAATAATTATAATTTCATTTGTGTATCCCCTCACATCTGCCATTATATACAGACAGCACCTCTTCAGTACCCCTGGTTTTAAATTATGAGGAGAGAAGAAGCAGACTAGATTTCTAATCTTTTCAAATTCTTATTTTCTTAAATAAAAATCTGCAATAGGTGAGAAGAACACAAACAATTATTTGTTAATCTATTATCATTGAGATTAAAGTACCTGAAAAGCTACTTGTAATTAATTTCAATGGGACAGCATGGCTTTGGGGTCACCTATTTTGATAAAACTTGGTGAGGTTATAGCGCATCCCAATGACTGACACGTGTCAAGCAGTAAGGCACAATCCTCAGAATTAGAGAAGAAAATTGCAAATAACTTAAAACATTTAAAACTTCTGTTTTTTGTAGCGTGGCCAGTGGTGTGCTGTTTCATTATCGTGAGGTTTGCGTTTCAAATTTGTATATTGTTTTTATTTATACAAAACATATATACAAAATATATATTTTTCTTCCAGTAATTCTAAATGATTTAAATTAATTAATTAAAAATTATAATTATTAAAGTTATTAAGAGATGGCACCTAACGCCTCCCTCTAGTGCCAAATTTGTTGCATAATTTATTTAGTAATATAGCTGTGTCTAGCCCGATAGAATTTGGCATTGGTTGGTGTCTAGCTTTATACAAAACTATAATTTTTAATTTATTCTTGATATTATTAAATTTATTATAGTTATTTTCAAATGTTCATGTACTGTACAGTACATATGAGACTCATACTAACATTTATTTATAAATTATTTGGAAAGAGGTTAGTTAAAACAAAATTATCATTATTATTCAAGCCAATTCTGTTAATAAAAAAGACATTTTTATTAACATTATTCAATCTGTTTACAATTTTGTGGATGATAATTGTCATAGAAGCATGTGAAACAAAAATATTTCTGCAGTGCGCACATTGAATAAATGTAGATTTTTACAATAAGATGATGATTTATATATGTCACTGGAAAAACAAACTTAATGTTTAAAAACATCTCTCCATCATCAACTAATTTGGAGGAGAATCATTTGTACCATATTTACATTTGTATGTTAAAAAATATCAGAGTTTGATGATGTCTTTTCTTACCTCCTTTGCAACTTCTGAAATTGTTGAATAACTGTTGGCTGCAATCAGGTCTTAATTTTGAAGGATGCTTTCACAATATGTAAAGTTTGTAACATTGTTGTGCAGTGATTCTTCTGCAGGACAAATTTCTATGCTATCGATGTTAACATGAGATATCAAAGTCATCTTTTTGTTCTTTAGTAAAATGAAGATGCAATTATAGATGCATTTGGGTTAAGAAGAATGACTTTGTTGGCAGAGTATGTACTGTACATAAAAATACAGAAAATGTTTTGTTTTTAAATAAATATTGTTAGGAAGGATTTGTTAACTGCTATTGACATTTATTTATTACTTGAAACCATGGATTTTTTTTTATTTTATTATCCTGCCTATTGTGCACCTATAGTTTTCTAAAAATAATTGAGTTTTTCTCTGACAATAGTATAAATTTAAAAATACAAAGAATTAAAAATGATAATTTTGTATATTTATAAAAAAATATGCATCAATATCACCAAGATTTGAAACACCAACCTCACAATTATAAAACCGGCATGCCACTAGCCATTAGTCACTGTACAAATAATGTAAATTTTAAAGGTTTTAAGTGATTTGCAATTTTCTCCTTAAATTTGAGTACTGCGCCTTACTGCTTGGCAAACGTCAGTCATTGGGGATGCACTATAACCTCACAGAGTTTGACCAAAATCGATAACCCCAATGTCATACTGTCCCCTTATAAGTATTTGTGGTATTTGAGTTTGAGAAAGTGATATTCAATCACCAAACTTACAACACTCGACGACAAGTACACAATTTAAGGCACCCTGCAAGGAAACTCTACAGGTTCATTTAATCGGTATAATCCAATTAAGTCGTAAAAACCAAAGCATACTACATTGGCAAAAGTGTTTTGACACCCAAAATATTCCCCTATTGAGTAAGAGTAGTCAATTTTCCAGACTTAAAATCTGCAATTTATTTTTAATATAATTACATATATTGTCTTTCAGTTAGAGTATTAACTACATTCACTTTAACATTCAAATTGTTTTCTCACATTAAACATATAAATTGTATGAGCTAACATAACTTGACAAAAAACTGAATTTCACAAGAGCCTCTTCTATTTCAATCGTACATTTTTATTTTTCCTTTATCATCATAAATCCACTGGCAAGTCAAAAGGTACATCGTCAATATTATTTGTTGTAATTATAGTAATTTAATTTGGATAATTTCTCTAAGTTTATTTTTGTAAAACCAGGGAATTTTGTTACTTGAGATTCCAGAAAGACAAAATAATGTTTATATGGGTCTCAATCTGTTTAATAAAATTGCTGTGCAATCAAAGACGATTAAAATAAATTTTACGTTGATTTAAGCTAAAGTGTTGTAAAAATATGCTTTGAATTTTTCAATTACAGAAAACTTTTATAATTAATTAATATTAGTAATATACAGTTATGTGGATTCAATTGGGTGTTGACCATGTACGTATGACTAGACATACACAAAACTGCATCTGACCCGATAAGTCATGTTAAAGACAACATGTAAAATATTTCATTTTTCATGCAAGAACACTGACACCTGCTTGTTGACTAAACTTTACATCAAAGTTAGTAGTGGGTAGATCTGGCCATGCTGTAGGAAAAACGTGTGCTACCAAAAAACTACAGTTAATAGTAATTATCAACAGAGTAACAACACAACATTTAATTAAATCACAATGGTTACTACTACCCAATTGGTTATGAACAATAATTGAAAAACCAAGAAAAAAGATTAAACTAAGACTTTGCCACAGTTTGACAATTCGAATGCCAATCAGTCATCTAGCAATGCTATGACACTCATCAACTCCAAGTGCTTGTTAATTTATACCCTTTTGAGCAAACAACGTTACAATTGCCATGTTTTACCTCATTTACGTAGTCTTGTGGATAATATGCATTTTCCCTACTGGCAGTAACTCTAGCCCTAACAAATTATGTAATATTTATTTACTGGTGAACAAATTTGCTTCTTAGTACTTCTTTGACATTACTTGACTTATTTTGATATTTACTGAACAAGTGGGCCATGGAATTTTCTCTAAAAAGACAGACATACAGTAATATGCTTTGATTTTTTGTCTTTCTGTTTGAGATTGCAAAATGGTCACCCTGAACTAAGTATTCAAATTAAACATAACTAAACAATTAGAAATTTCTTAAAAAATGTCTCTCAACAAATTTCAAATATTCAATATCAAGTAAGTATCGTCTGGAACTGGATATTTGTTACTTGGATCAAATATCCAGCTCCAGAGAATGTAGCAATCAATATTCATTTGATACTAGATATTTGAAATTTCTTAGACATTTTCAAGAAACTTCTAATTAAAGAAAACCATTTGTTCAAACATGATGTAGTGCAATCACTCGACCACTTGGCATTTTTCATCATTAGCTTGAATAAAAGTCATCAACTGAATAAAAGTTAATGATGAAAAATGCCAAGTGATTACACTACATCATATTTGAACAAAGGAAAAATACCAACATGGTTTCAAGAATGTTAAAGAAAACCAGTTCCCAATTCATAACAACTAAATAAACTAAGTAATCAAGAACAAACCAAGGCTGGGTTCTCTCCCCACATAAGTATTATCATAGTACACGATCAGTAGGGGTTGCATATTTACCAGTAAAATGCCAAATTTTCAAAACGTTACACAGTAATTTTTAAATTTTGACTCCAAATGCAAAAATTAATGCACTAGTGATGATTGTTTAATGGTTTAATTTGTGAGCACTAAACAATCTTTAGCAATATGACCAACCAGATTCCCTTTTGTTCTATTTCAAATTGAAAACGTTTAGTTACTTAAACAGTTATTCCACTCTAGGCATTATGGGTTAATACTGTAAATGAATTGCAAACTGTTTGGCAGTGCCATAATACAACAGTTTAAAAATTGTATACAACTGAAAGTAATAATTTAAGATGTGAATGACATTTAGTGAACAGTTATCTTAGTCTGTTTATGTGAAAACTTCCAGTCTAAGTAGCTACAGATCAGTCTACAAAGCTACATTTCCACAGTTCTCTCTAAGCTAGCAATACCACAATTATGTAGTAAATATTTAAAATTGTGCATGCAAAACTATGAAATTATATAAAGAAATTAATAAAAAAGTGACTTACAAAAACTGCTGGTTTACGAACGAGCCCTCTTGTTTTTTCTTCTGTGTAGGCACAGTTGGTATGATGGGCATGAGATATTGTTAAAATTATGTCGTACATGGCTAGCTGTTTGTTTTCTATCTCACGAGCCGACTGGTCCGCTTCAGCTTGAGTCACACGTGTTTCTTCGTTCCTTTCTCGTGAACGTTTCGGCACTCTACCATACCTAACAGCTAGAAGAAAAGTAAATTGCACAGTTAGTATAAATATGCACTTTTCACACTAATTTCTAAATATTTCTCTAAATTCCATAGTATTTTTCTTTGCTACACAACCATTTTTTGACTTATCCAAGTTCACAAAAATTAGCTACTTTTAGCTTCAATTAAAATTGCTAATGGTATTTTTTAAAAAATTCATAACCGAAGGAACTAAGTCAGGATTGTCCAACCTTTTTTCTTAATGGGCCAAATTAGAAATTTAGGTATATTCAGTGGGCCACAATGGTACTATATAAAAATATATGCTTCTAAAAAGTTCAAAATGTGAATATCAAATTTTAATAACAAATATATATCATTACAAAAAATACTGTATTATTGACAGTAAAAAAAATTATACTCACAAAATAAAAATAAATTCAATGCAATTTTTGACATTGCCTTTCTTTTATAATATTGTCATATCTGCTTTTATGCTACTAGTCTTAAATTCTAAGAATGTTAGTTAAATGGGAATCATTCAACCTATTTCTTTAAGCACTTTAGTTTTTCATAGACAAAAAAAATTGTTTACAACAGTATGTACTACCACACGTGCATAACAGTTTTCTAGATAAATTTAAAATTTCATCAAATTCATTGAAATAATGAACTTCTTTATAACATTCAAGAAGGGAAATGTTCTCTGTGATAACTTTTCAAAGATTCCCTGCTTTGAAGTTCAATGAGTTCTAGCTGGTATTTGGCTAATGCTTCTGTGTAATTAAATGAAAATGCATCACTAAATTTTAATTCGCTTTCTACTTTTTTGAAGTCAGAAAATCTGCTTGTTAAATCTTTTAACAAAACTTTACATAATTTACTATATCTTTAAAAAAAATTATTTTCTTTCTAGTAAACTCTAACAAGGGAACTGTCGGAGTGTAATCTAATAAATTTTAATAAAATTTAGTTAATAACTACGTTAAAAGTATACAAACTCTATTTTAAATTTGTAGCATTCACTAAAAGTGTTGATCAGAGTTATTAGCAATCAAACGTTGCACTACTTTATAGTAGTTTAACACAATTATGCAAATTTTTAGAAGTGAAAGGGTCGCGGAGGAAGACGGCGATATTATATTTAGAATAAATTCTGGAATTTTCAAAAATGGTTGAAGAATTAATAAAGTTTTGTATACTTTTAACATAATTATTAACTAAATGTTATTAATTCTTCTCCCATTTTTGAAAATTCCAGAATTTATTCTAAATATAATATCGCCGTCTTCCTCCGCGACCCTTTCACTTCTAAAAATTTGCATAATTGTGTTAAACTACTATAAAGTAGTGCAACGTTTGATTGCTAATAACTCTGATCAACACTTTTAGTGAATGCTACAAATTTAAAATAGAGTTTGTATACTTTTAACGTAGTTATTAACTAAATTTTATTAAAATTTATTAGATGACACTCCGACAGTTCCCTTGTAAGTGTACAATATGACAATAAGATGCCACAATACTATACAATGCTTGTCCACCATTCTAAATGCATTTATAACTCAGAAAGCAGGAAATAGCCTATAAAGCACATAACAATGTCGGCTCATTATGATACCATATTTCTTACAATTACAGATAACCTCCTTTACATGCAATTTTGATTGGTGCAAATTTTGGTTAATGCGAGTCCATTTTGTGGTAAGTTCAACACTGCCAATTGGACAGAGCTTTGAGCTACAAGTGTTAAAACTATCTCTTCTCTCTATTCCTGCTCAACGTTAGTTAACAGGATAAGAAAAACCTTATTTTTCTGAGTGCAGTGCTGTTACTCACACACTTCAAGTTCTATTTTCACATTTAGTGTAATTTCCATTTTAATTCTTTGGCCTTTAAAGAAAACACACAGACACGAACTGTGCAGATGACACTTGATAAATATTTTTCTGAATTTAAAAAAATTTTTTACTACATATTTTTAATTTTTTTTTGCTACTTTAGTGATTGGTCTAAACTCTCCATAATTGATCTTTAACTTTATTTTCCAATTTGTTTTGATTTGGGTTTGCAACTATAGAATAGTCTAAAATTTTCAAATTACGTGTTCAATAAATGTTTAAAATTTGACTTCTTTATTTTTCATATTTTTATTCTGTCCAAGCGAATATAAATGTAAAAATCATTCCACACTATCACTTAATGAACCAATTTATTTCCCACTGATCGTCAATTTCCAATATATATGGTATACTCATGGAATCAATTAACCACAAAGGATTACCTGTATTGTGCTCACGTAGACAATGTACTAAATAAATTCACAGATTGGATTTTGTACAAAATCTTCCAAAGGAAAATAGTGGAAAGATTTGTATCTTCTTCAATCCTGAATTAATATCAGTCTTCCGTACCTTCCATTAACATTTCCAATACTCTATAAATTGAAATTGTTTCACTGAGATTCCAATTGATAGAGAATCTTTGTACAAAGCAACATTGCAACTTTTATTTCAACTAACCTATAATTACAAATTAGCTAAAATGACACCAAACACAAAATGTGACAGATTGTATGACAAAATCATTCAACAATCCACAAACCAAAAACACAGCTTCTGTTTGTCAACTATGCATAAATGTTTTGTTGTCATTTGCGATTTCTGAACAGATGCATGCGGCAAGTACGCGCTCTAGTTAACAATTCAAACGAAGACACCTGTCAAATCTGTCACATCATTGTGTTTATAATTAATTACTTTATACTAGAACTAAATCATATTCCTTGTTGCTAGATTGAGTCTATAGAATAAAATACTATAATGCATACCTCGTTTAGTTCTCAGATTTGGGTTGACAATTAATAATTTGTTTTGATCATCCTAATGCAGAATGTGACAGATGGATTTATTAGGGCATCAAAAGTGCCAACCACTGGGGCTTCACTATTATTGTTAACAAGGCTTTCTCAACTGAAAAATGCATAGGGTGGCATTTGATAACCAAGCAATATTTTAGTTATATTTGATAGACCAAAGTAAAATCGTGCCTACAATACAAGAATAATTAGTAATGGCTAATTATAGAAATGGTTGTGTTTGCATTCGATTATTTTGACAAACATTTGAGATTGTGGCATGTTTCTGAAAGAGGTTAGATTTAAACACTAAGATAAATACAGTCTTCCAAAAAGAATGATGCCATTTTAAATTACTGTAATTATGTTAATTATTACCCAAGCAATGTGTGTTGTACACCAATTGAAAGAGTTACCATTTGAGTTTTACTTACCATTTGGCATTTGAATGTCTTGACAATTGCCTCTAGGAAGCCAAACAAACGAACATGGCAATTTCGCAACAGAGAAGGTATTGTGTGTTCTGCAGTCCACAAAGTCAGAACTGGCCATCATCATCAACAAAACAATGCCTTACATGGGACTGCTTTGAAATTGTCAGCAAAAGTCATGTTGCACAATGAATACCAATTCTGACTTAGCAAACTACAAAACACAAAACATCTTTGTTCTAGAGTCCCAATTTTTTGTTTACAGAACTTCCCAGAGGTAGTAGACAAAAATATTTGAATGCAGATGGTAGATGAAACTTGAATGGTTAGTCTATTAATTAGTGAACATTGAATACTTCTTGGATAATATTTACATAATTACAGTAATTTAAAGTGGTAATGTACTTTTTAGAACATCCTCTATAAACACTTATATTCACACATTGAAGAATTTCACACAATATACAGTTTTCATCCTATTGTTGATAAAATTGAGCATGCTATATCAAGGACTTCAGAATCAAAAGTGGAGAATTCATCTGTAATGTTTAGTTTGTAATTTAAAAATCTTTTAATGCTAATCATAATTTGGAAAAACTGTGCACAGTCAAGATGTGGAAACAGACCCAATTTTTACTATAATGAAAACAGGTATTCAGCTTAAAATTAGTAGTTTTTTTATATATCCTAACCAAGTTCCCTTTAATTTTGAAAATTTAAAACCCTGTTTTTAAGTATATACCTATAATTTAGAAGATAAGTTTGTAAGTAAGAGAGAAATTAGATCTTAAAATAATGGGGTGTAATTTAATATATGTTCTGTAATTTTGATAACATAAACTAACACTTATTAAAATATTCAATGTGTAACTTTGCATAATAATTCTACATCATCAGAAAAAGAAACTATAATCAAATTATTGACCAAAATGCTAAATGTCAGATTTCCTTGCATAATTTAGTATGCCATCACAACTTAACATCCATTTAGCATATTAAAATCTTTGGCTAGTTAAAAACAAACCTGTTAACTTCCCACACGTGACAATTGCTATAACTTAACATTAAAAAAAGTTGTGGGAATAAACAAAACCAAATGAAACGTGAAGAAGCAACTTTAATTACACAAAAACTGAGTAAGTGCTCAATAACAAAAGTTTTGTAGAAATGTGTCAAGAACACCAGCTTTAAAATTAAATTCAACAAAGGTTAATTTGACCTTTTTTTAATTCTAAAATAAGTAGTAAACAGTTTTATTTTTTGTCATCCATATATATCTAAGGAAACAATTATTAATCCATCTATCTTATTTAGTTTATCAAATATAAAAAAAATGTACAAAATTACTTTAAAAAAGCAAATTCTTTGTACTATATTCTATTGTTAGCTTATGAGAGGTGCTAAATTGCCACTTTTCAGATGATTTAACAAATTTGACTGAAATAATCAGACCCAATCTGATAATTTCATTAAAGAAATCCCCAATTTAACTATAAACTTTTTAATGGCTTTTTTTATCGTTGAACAAATGTATATGTAACAACCACGACAATATTAAATATATCCAGTGATTCTTAAATGGTGAATAAAAGCAAGCATATTATGTCTTATCCACTGTTAGGTGCTCATTTAAAGTATTATCAAATTAAATTTTATATCACTGAACACTCCACCTATCTAGGTATTCAAATATTTTAAATAATACAGTAAAGCTCCATTTAAACATGTTCCATGCACTGTCCAAG